ATTACCTTAATTTAAATACCCTCGGTAAAAATAAATAAGGATTTTACTGTGAACTGAAAACTGGCTATGACATTACCTAGTTTTATTTATCATAAGGTTTCCTTCACTAAAATAGTTTTTCACTAATTTGCCTATTTCATGTAATTCTTTCTTCCATTTTTCTTATCCTGCACGCGGTCTTCCTTCACCGCGTAACTGCACTCCTTTCTTTAATATTTTCTTACCACTTCACCTTCCGTTCTCTTCTTATTCCTCAATTTCAGCAACCTTTCATTTTTCAAGTATTAGGTGGATGGGACAATTACACAAAAGGCAGAACTACGTACAACTACGTTTTTTCCAACAAAAAAAAGCGTATGTCCTCTTTCTGGATTAAGCCCAGTGCATTTTTAAGTGGCTACTTCAGGGCTTACTTTCAAATATTCCACCTGTTTGCCTCTGCAGTATACGGAAGATTTGTCAAAGATCAGGATATGGGATATGTGCTTTTCTATTGTGTAAAGTACCAACAACACAATTCAACTTTTTCGACTTGTTTCTTTCGACCCACCTGAGTTGATTACTCTCAAGTAGAAATCTCGAAAAGGCAAAATCGGAAGAGAAAGGAACACTAAAAATTACCAATCAATTTTTCGACGTGTTTCGACTTGTTTATTTTAGATTTAAGCCTACTAAGTCAACAGTTGTGAACAATTAATCTCGCAAACCTCAAAATAAGCGAGAAAAAGGCACACAGAAAATGCCGATTAAGTTTTTGACGTATTTCTACTTGTTCTTCTAGAATCAACACTACTTAGTCGAATATAAATCGACAGTTATATATAAAATATATATATATAGATACATAGGAAGCTACTTCTGTTGGCTTATTTGAGAATACAGTTCGAACATAAAGATCGAAAAAATAAGCGCATCGTATATAAAGCATAAATACTATGAAAAAACTATTTCAGCAAGCAGGGCAAATCTTCCTTCTTTGGTCGAGGAATGTCTTAATTACAAGAGTTTCCTGCGTAATTAACTAGGAAGATAGATGAGTTGTCCGTAAACCTTGCACCCTCGACATTTCGCCGGCAAGCTTGATCCATCGTTTTATTAATTTTATATTAACAGTAACTTTTTTTTAATATTAAATTCGTCACATGAACATAGTTAACTTGATGTCAATGTATATTTACCGTTTAATAATATCGCGAATATATACAATGACCTAAATATACCTTTAAAAGCTCATTTGTATGTCTATTTACCCTAAAAGGGATTACGATCCTCAGTCGCCAATGGTGCATTCTCTCATAAATAATTGAACAACACGTAAAAATATTCATAAACAAGAGAAAACATTGATGGACGAGAAAAGCGATCCGTGAGTTTTGCTAAGCCATGAATCATAATGGTTACAACATTGTATTTTCTTATTGTGATTTCTAATTTTTTTAAATTTCCATGTTGTTTTTATGAAACCAGCAACAACCTCCGGCGGACGGTTTTAATCCATGCTTGTATATACTTAAAAATTTATTTCTTTGTTATAGGCCTTTTTCTTTTTTCTTGTAAATAACCGTATCTCTCTATCTATCTTTCTCATTGTTCCTTTATATTTAAGCATCAGCGGTTGCAGACAAAACGGTTTTTTTAAGGCTTTATACTCGCTTCACCTTTGACAAAATGTGTTTTTTTTTCTACTAATCGGATCATAAATTCATTCAAATATCTCTAATGTCACTACACAGTGTCTTATGAAAGATAAGTGGGGACTGCTTGAGTACCTTGAGAATAGCAAGAATAATAACGACCTTCCTCATTTTTGGGTCCACGGTTCAAGACGAAGAATAACGACAAGGATGATCGTCTAGCCAGGGAGATCAGCACCAGTTGAACCAACCCAATTCTGGAAAATTCCCAACAGAAGGATAAAGCGAAATCGTCCCAATGGATCATGACAAACGCATACCTCTTAGAACTACATCCCCGCATAAAGATTTCATTAATAAAGGCTCACCTAAAATTAGTATCAAAGCCGAACAAAACTCACGATCATTGCAGTTCTGTTAACCTGATATTTCTAACTCAAAAACTATGGGGAGTGGCAGAAAAAAGACTGTTTAGGGTATGCAACGAAGAAGATATATTATACACTATTGTAATAATAACAATTTGTTGGAGTCGTGAGGGGCGGTCAAGAATGAGGTAGTTTAGAAAAACACCTTTATCATTTTTGCTGACGATTCGGCGGTAACTATGCATCCTCACAACTCTACCAAATTATTTAATAACCAGTCATTAAAAAAACACAAATAATAATAATATGGGAAGTTTAAGGGCCGACAAACAGCTGAAATCATCGCCGGCCCTCTGGGTGTTTTAACTTATTTTTCTTGTCTTTCATGTGTACTTTTTTAAACAGCAGCCATTTGAGGGTCTCTATTTTTGCTGACGTTTCGGCGGTAACTATGCATCCTCACAACTCTACCAAATTTTATGCTTTTATAAGTATACTACGTCGATGTCCTAAAACGCTAGCCTCTCAGTTTTAACACAGGCTGTGTACTGCTGAATAGAAACATACAGTGCATCACCACAAACATAGAAGTCTGGTCACATTCACTCAACCAGAGCACTCGATATTCCTTGGGGCGGGGTTAAACAACCTCTTCCTTTCACGCTAATAAATTACATTCATTACAATAAATTAACATAAACACAACACCCAATATCACCAAAGCACAATAGCCTGTTTTGATAAACTCAATGCGACAGGCTTTGGAAGTAACTAATACAGACCTAAAAAAAATTAAATATAAACTGTAAAATATTTCTTTCAATAATTATAATAATATTATAAAACATTTATATTTTATTGTTCTAAAAACGCTTAAATGGTAACGCACATATTACAGATTTATTAGTCTAAAATGTTACTATTTAAACTAATTTGTCTGCAAAAAAAATATTATTTCAAAAATCATTATAACCAATGTAAAACGCGTCTTTTAGTCTTTTATTCATTCAAACTGCCCAAACTCCTACGAAAAATACTATATGCCCCATTTTATGTATCGAACTTAACTACACATACAGACTTAAATATTCCTTTGGCTCAAGATGAAATCCGTTCCCCTTTACCGCAAATTTCACAAAAACCTCCCAACCATCGTAAACCAGCACATCTGAAACCTCGTATCCCGACGAAATCCCTCGAACACTCCTCGCCGACTGAAGACACAAAAGCCGCGAGATCTTCTAGGAAGTGATAGAGATGATGACACAAGCATAGATTGAACAAACGATATTTTAGTATCATTGGAGTAATACCAATGGCTATTTTCTCCACTATTGTTTTTAATTTTGTAATATAACCTTGCACATTGTTCCGTGGTAAGTACTTGAAGGTAGTTGTAATGTATTTCAAATTAATAAAAAAGCCGGTTTATAAACTTTTATTAATTAACTAATTTTAATATTGTCCTTATTGTGGACTACGAAGTGCAAAAGTTGTAACTATTCATCATACGCGCCCTCGGGTTTCGTATTTCATCTTGAATTTTGAAAGCAAATGACTATTTATATTTGTAAGTATGTATAATGCGTTAAAATTAAAACGACGTAATAACATAAAAATGTAAATGTGATCGAAGCGCTTCACAAATATCAAAACGTCAGGCTATTACAGGCCACCAACATTTTCTTTCTATACAAACGTGAAATGTCATCTTTTTCGGTGTTTTTCTTACAAAAGTTATAATCTTTCACAAGGACAGTTTCGCAAATAAATACAATATTGTTGTTGTTAAGAGTTAAAAATTAAGACATTTCAGCATGACTGTTGATTAAACTGGAAAAAGGGCAAAATCATCCTAATTTCAACGCACTCCTATTAATTAAGGTCTAAATGTATTCACATTATGACATTACTGCTGTTGAGAAAGCATTAGTCAACTTACCACACAGAAATTGCCACAGAACTTAAAATTTTAAATAATCAGTATCATCCAGGTACAGCAAGGCAGAGCAATAAAGAATTTATTTATCATACAATGCAATGAAATTAAATCGATCGGTGACATCCGTTCTCAGCTGTGATAAATTAATAGTTTAATTTCCACAGGAGTACAGCTCGCAGAACGACTAATTTACAATAATTGAAACTTACATATATCTTCATTGGATTTAAAGCCAAGCAGCCAGGGCAAATTCTATTATACACCTGTTTTTTATCTGTAATTATTATATTGCTCACATATTTGCAAACAAAACATTAGTTTCTTTTTTTAATTGCCATTTGCTTTTATATATTTGCCAGAATACGTTTATTAAAAGTGAAAGTAATATTTTTTGTGAGAGACTCTCACGCCGCGGTCGTGGGTTCGATTCCCACCGTTGCCCCTGGCCCTTTTTTCCCAATAACCCCCCAAATTTGAACACACATATACGAATTTGTCACATGGCTAATATGCATAGTTCATAACGCAAAAAAAAAAAAAAAAAAAAAAAAAAATTTGTTGGACGAGAAGGGGTCAAAACTTTCAAGGATGACGGTTGGAATGGAACCTACGACCGAGTGTTTACAATTTTAAAATTATTCATGTTATATTTAGGGATTTCATTTTCAACTTGCGTCTGACAGATCAAAATAGAACAGGAATACAGAACAAAAAGACAAATGACAAATATTCTTAATGTTGTGTCATACAATATTTCAGTAAGCGGTGAACTGTATAATAAATTAATTAATGCAATTTCTCCTAGGACTTTTGATTGGTAGCATTGAATGGGCTGGATATGGCTGGTTTAGTGGAATCCAAACATTATGTACAATTTGATAGCACTGATGTCAATAGTGTTACTTGTGTCTTCAAAATCTTCGTAGTTGTCCGGGTCTTGCAAGTTTTTCTCAAGGATTTTTTTGGGATTTTAACTTAATCTGTTGTCAATATCTAGGTCTTGTTGTCTATATCTATCTAGCTAACCATCCCTAACCATCCCTATATTATTGATAGATGTCGAAAGTTCCTTGTTATTGTCCTGCTACAAAAAGTAATAATTATCGAAGTAAAACTTTGGCCAGACGTTTGGTTTTTATGAGATATCAATTCAATGGTCAGTACGGTAAATCTTAATGATAGAAATGATAAAGATACGGTGAGTATGTAGATTCATTTTTTGTAAAAAGTAAATTTTAATGATGTAAAAGTAATGGGAAATAATTATTGGTGAACACGGCGTTTGAACTAATTTTCAATCCTTATCACCGAAATATTCTCAAATGAAAGTTCAATTGCTATACCCGGATTCGAACCGAGTACCTAGGGTGGCAAATAAGTCAGCCGCTTTTACCACTCGGCCACCTTGGTCCGCTGGATGTTCTATGAGATGTAAAATAAAATTAAAAAAATAAATCTTACTTTTATTAATAGTTTTAGCTTTTTAAGCACCTGATATGTCTTTATGCCTATAATCTACTTTTTACTTATTTCATATATATTTGACACAAAGTCGTGCTAGTGGAAACAGTGTTTCAAACCATTTTGAAAGGAAACCAATTTCCTTTGTTAATAAACCTTTTGTTTTTGTTCACAGTTCCAATATCCGACGTTCAAGGGGTACTTGGAAAGAAGACAGCTTTACCCTGCGACATAACAGCCAGGGATAAAGACGACGCTGTTTACATGGTTCTATGGTTCAAGGATGCTGATGGAGAACCTCTATACAGGTCGGTAATAATTAGATCTTATCATTAAATTGGATTGGGATGTGATTTTTTTCTTAAAGGGCGATGGTAGGTTGAACCGAGGATGTAGAAAAACGGAAAAACGTTTTCTTCCAGTGGACAAATTATGCATAAAGGCGTAATTTCATTACCTGCATCCTTATCGGGGCTTTTTTACTTATGGGTGCCGTTGAACTTTACCCTTCTCCTTTCGATATTTATCAATATGATCAATCGATGTACGTAAGTGAGTGGATTACATTTTAAAGTAAATATTGTCTAGTGTTCCAAACCTGAATAAAAAAAATAGTTTTGTTAAAGTTTGTTCGGGGTCAACGTACTACATTTTTTTTCTCAACACGACATAAACTAATGACACATCTACTCAGAAAACAAACCCTTTGAGCCCTAAAGATTATGTCAATAAAGATCGAAACGTTGGCACGATAAAGAAAATGTTTTTTCTAAATCTACGTCACACCATGTACCGCATCTTACGATCTCTAAGTAATAAGTACTACATATTTTATTAAAGCGATAAGATTTAATTTACTCAAAACAAAATGTAGTAAATTGAAAATTTATGCTTCAGAAATGTAATAAAAACAGAGAGAGAGGGAGAAAGAGAGAGATAGATAGAGAGAGAGAGAGAGAGAGAGTGAGAGAGAGAGAGAGTGAGAGAGAGAGAACTGAAGGCTCTAAAATCGTTAGGAAGTGAAAAAATAACTTTTTCTCAAACTTTTCTCCTTTTGTGACAATTACCGCTGATTTTTGTTTCTCGAAAAAAGGTGATAACATTCAAACCATTCAATTGGTCTACAAGAAACTGGTCAATGGTTCAGAACACCGATTGGCGATCGTTTTGAAAATGACCAAAGCGTAAACCAAATCAGGTTCGGCTGGCCAGGCAAAAATTTAAATTTGATATATTTATAAGTACTTGTCATCCTAAAGCAAAAAAAGGTAATTTTTACATTATTTAATGCATCAAGCGATTGCTTGTAATCGTTTTTGTGAATTTAAATTAATGTATCATCGACATATCTTTTCAAAGTCTCATTTTGGTATTTTTGAATACACTGTAAATATGTTCGTTCATAAAAATTTCTGCATTGATCTGATATACTGATAAACAGAAAAGATGTAATTTTCACCAGGACAACATAAGTCCTCATGCACCCAGAACGACAAAGGTAGTGTCAAAGATGTTGGAGCTTCGTTAGCTTAGTTATGAACCTACCACCGTCTGCAAGTGGTTTTTATTATAATTTTCAACACTTTCTTATTTCTCTAGGCCAAATCAACAAATATTGTAAATATACTTAAGCCCTCTGCCACAAGGATGTATAATGTCCTAGCTAGACATTTCCCCTTGTAGTCACTTTGTACAAAATGTATGTAAAAGTATCTAATAAATAAACTCCAAAACTCAGACCACCGTCGGTACTCTCCAGACCACGCCCCATCTAACTTTCACCTTTCCTTAGCAATAGCCCAATCAAGCGTTCGATAGTCGCTAACAGCAAGAAAATGTGCTGAGGTCATTTTCTTTGTCCCGGGGATCAAACCTTTATAAGGAGGGCATTACTGGTCTATTAACTCGGTTTGAGAAGGTTATAGATGCCGACAGAGACTATTTCCCCAAATACAATATCTCAAAAGAAATTTTATTTGTGACAATTATTAAATCCTTTAAACCAGCGCAAACGTTCCTGGTAGTTTTCTTTTTTGTTGAAATGGTTAGAATTTGTTCTTACCTACTTATTTTTATAGAATTTAATAAATGCCTTTTCATTGAGAAAGTGTTTACAAGTTGAAATCTGTTTTCTAATCTCAGGAGTGTGCAACTATAAAAGGGTGGGCCGCAATGAACTTTTTTGACTCGTTTCAAACTAATTGGGAAGTGTGTCGATCGACAAAATGGATTTATTTTCAATAATTTTTCCACAACAACGTTACTTTCACACTGAAAGTGTCATGGTTCTTTAAAAACATTATTGTATTTATTCAGAAATCGAGAGATGCGGTCTGGTGTGATGTAGGTTTCAGAAAAACGTTTTCTTTATCGTGCCAATGTTTCGATCTTTATTGGGGTCATCTTCAGGGCCTGGGATTTACAAACATTGTTTACATTTAACAAATACATTTAGGATGTGGAAAAGTGAATTTATACAATGCAAAATATATTTTTTATATTCANATAAAAATATTATAAAATATTATACAAAGTCAATAAATAACAAATATAAAATTAGTACCTCTAATATTACAATATAAAATCTTGTGTATCAATAAGTCAAAATAATTAATAAATATAACAAATATTATGTATACTCCACATTACATAAAATTCTGCTTATTATCTAGATCAGTTTTACAAATATTTATATATTTGTAGTTCATTTTCGGTGATTAACTTTTTATATTAACATTGTTTTTATTAACATATTAAAAATATGTACCAATTAATTTTTCGAGGTGTTTGTTATTGTTTCTTATAGATTTAACCCTCCTGAGTCGATTGGTTAATCTCGCAGACCGCAAATTAGGAAGAAAAACGCACGCAAAACTTCAGATTTATTTTGCGACATGTTTCACATAGATTCGACCTTAGTGAGGTCGACATTAGTGGAAGTTAATCTCTAAAAAAATGAATGATGAAAATAAAAAAATAAAGACAAAAATTTGAATTAATTTTTCGACTGTTTTACCTATTTCTTATTGATTCGACTATTCACAAATAGATAGAACATAAGATAAAAAATGAAAATTGCATTTTTATCTTATTTATTCGAGTAGAAATTATAAAATCCTCCAGGATGTAATATTTTCCTCAATAATTACATATTGAAATAATAAAATGTTTATAACGGTTCTCTATGAATTGCATTTTCTTAAATACAATTTCTAAAACAATATTTAATTTTTTCTACTTTCTTAAACCCCTTTCTCATAGGTTCGTCCCCCCTAAGTCGATTGGTGCAAGAAATAATCACGCATATATTGAAATAAGTAAAAAAGGCAAGTAAAAATTTCAATTAATTTTTCGATGTGGTTGTACTTTATTAATTAATTTCGCAAATTAATTTTCGATTTTTTACATGGAGTACATGTTGTACATATTCCTTTTAGATTCGACCATTCTGCGTCTATTGGTGAAAAATTAATCTCGCTGACCGCAAAATTAAGAAAAAAAGCACACAAAATATTATAATTTATTCTTCGACATGTTTGTATATGTTTCCTTGCAGATTGTGCCTTACTTAGTTGACTCTTGTCAAGAAACCTCAAAATCAAAAATCAAAATAAAACGGGCATAAAAAAATTTCAGTTTTTTTACGTGTTTATTTTTCCTAATCAATTCGAGTATTCCTAAATAGGTGAGGAAAAGTAACAAAAATTTTTTAAAAACTTTATATTTTTAAAGTGTTTGGACTTGTTTTTCATAAATTCAGCTTACTGAGTAGATTGTTGTCACGAATTAACCTAACCTCAAAATAAGCGAGAAACATACACTAATGTAGTTCAAATTTATTATTTAACGTGTTTGATATACATTGACCATTTCTGAGTCGATTGGTCCAAGGATTAATATCTCAAATCTCAAAAAAAGAAAGAAAAAACTCACAATACAGAAAATACACAATTTATGAGCGCAAATGTTTTATTAAACCTATTTTATTTGTACAAATGTAAAATATTCCGATCAAAATTATTTTGATTTATTTTTTTTAGCATTAGAATAATTACGTATCTTCTATATACATCTGAATGGGATGAATACCGTTTTTTAGCGTGAATAGTGGGGTTCGACCATACACCGAGGAATATCGAGTACTCTAGGGAAGTGAATGTGACCAGACTTATTTGTCTGGTTATGTATATATATGTTATATTAAATTTATATCATACACGTGCGAGTTAACAATTCCTAAAACATATATAAGCATTATTTAGTCGCACTTTCTCCCCCTCCAGTAACATTAGTAAATTATAAAAGACATCAAGACATCCAGATTGTTCCTACTTTTCATCCTCATTATCAGCACGTCTCTCTATTGTAATTCAGGTACGGTTAAATAAAATTGTTTTTCAAAAATACTCCTGTTGAATATTGAATGGTTTGTATCTAATCCGTAGTTGACAACTTGAGGAAAAATGAGAGGCTAGTATTTTAGGATAACGACTTAGTTTTCATATAAAATCAGAAAGTCAGTAACAGATCGAGACGCGTGAAAGACAAAGAAAAGTAGTACAAACATGCAGATGGCCGGCGATGACCTCAGTTGTTTGTCGGCCCCTAAATTTCCCACATTATATATAAATTAATCTGAAGGTAAAATACATTTTACATTTTTTCCAAATAACATAAATAGAATCAAAATGTGGATATCATTTTTATAAAAGTAATTTCGATCTCGCTTTACCCAGTTTCACTTAAGTGAATATTAAAATAATACCGTCAATATAAAAGAATTTACAAATTAAATAACCAACGGGTTTATTGTTTTAATGAACTGAGTTTTTCATAAAGAACAATGCATTACATTGTGCCTCAAAATAAAAGCTGAGATCCCCTTGTTTATTGCTGAGTTGATTTCATAATTTTGTCAACCAAATGTTTCCACAGCTCTGTACACATTTTTTCATATTTCAAGCTTTTGTTCCGATTTAAAAGAAGAGTAAATCGTTAAATCAATGTTATTAAAGCAAAATACAAAGTTTGCTGTACAAATAATGAAGTCAGCTCTGAGTGGTTGTATGATAAAGCAAATATGAATGATGAAAAACTGTTTGTGCTTTATTTTTCACAAGATAAATACAGCCAGGCTCAATAAGCAGTCGGAGTTTCATTAGAAACGGATATCAATTATTTCGAATTGAAAAGCCGTTTTGGGTGAAATTTTAAAATAACTTAGTGGCCCAAGTTAGGCATGATATTTAAATGATTAATTAACACGGCTATAACCTTCAAAAGTCTTCGATCCAAATGTCGGATGGTG